GGACCTAAAAAAGGGTCACAAATATTACATTTATAAGAGTTTTCTTTAGTTAGACATGGTAAATATGTGCAATATGTGTGACTTTTACATTCCCTTTAAAATATGTATGCCTCAGGTAAAAGGCGCGCCAAAACATTAGGTTGAAAGTGTCACTGGCCTATAACTCTACACTGATAAAAATGGAAAATTGGAAAAGTGGACTATTTAAAATTGTAAACTTAATAGTTAAATTAAATATTAAATCATAAATACAATCATTAGCCTTAAAATAGTTTTAATTTGGTTTAAATACATTTTATAAGTATGTTTTAAATATAAATTTAAAATACAAATTTGAAAAAGTTTTAACAATTTCATATTTAAAATAACTAAAAGCCGCAATGGATGAAAATCAAAAGGAAAACATTTAAATTGAGTACAAAATATTTGGATTTACTAAGTTTTTATACTAGTGTACCATGTATGTAGTAACATCTTATCGACAACAAATGTATAACAAGTTGAAAATTAAAATATTTAAAAAATATATTTTGTAAAGTACTTACGTGGCGCCAAATTGGGCTGACGGTATCGTCCGGAGATGATCTCTTCATGAGCGCGTCGAGCTTTCACACGGCGCCCTTCGAAGTCGATCTTGGTGTAATCAATGGTCTCGTCAACTTCGGAGTAATATATATATATATGATATACCAATTCCGTATATTTAGTGTTCTGGCGTACTCACATTTGGGTATGTCCTCGTCGTCATCGCAGTAGTCGGAGTCGCTGCTGCTGCTACTCAAGGTCAGCTGCAAGTAAGCAAAGTAAAAGGCACATTTGAGAAGGAACTCGACCATCTGCGTTGTACTGAAAATGCTTCATAGGTGAACCCTTCTTTGTAGGTGTATTTTAAGACTAAAGAACTATTGTTTTGACTTCAAACTCATAGTCACATAGTAGCACCTAACTTTAAAGAACAGACATATTTATGGAGGGAATATGAGGCTTAGCTTGTACGGTTTATCTATACATTGCACTATTTGCCATTTTCAATAACAAATTTTTTCCTAAGCGGTTCAACGAATTATGAAATCTTGAACAAATTGTTTCTTGGACGAATTTATATATAGACATTTCGTTCCGCAGCGCGGGGCTAGCATATAAGTTAAACTTTAGATCAACATGTTTAACCCGATTTCAGAAACCATTAAAAAAAACTGTCGTCTTTAGTCTTTTAAGAGTATATGGGTAAAATTAACATATTTCCAAAGGAATCTTCAAAATTTTAGTAATATAAGCTAGTTTTACATTTTCTCATAACTCATTTTGAAATATTTAAAGTAAAAGTCGAATAAGTGCGACAGATACGTTTTGAACATTTATATTGAACATTTTGTTTTCCTTTATATTCTCTTTTTTAAAGCTCTGTTTGTGATGAAAGAATATATAAACAATAAGGGAAGCAAACTTCGCCAAAAATTAAATATTCTTTGATCAATAATAAATTTACTTTATGAATCTGAAATGTCCTTTGACTGAGTTGCAATTTTCTGACTGAAATTATAGTATCCTCTACACGGGTATAATAATTATTATTTTAAAAGAACGTTTGAAATAGACAAATTGACCAAATGTGATCAACATGGCGATTCTCTCTTTTTTTGTTTGACGATTTATAGTGATTGATTCCATGATTTAAAAAACATTATTATTTGCAGTCCCTGCTTATATATAATGCTATTGTAAAATAAAAAGAAAGTTAGTTGATACATAAATTGTCTTTATAAAACAAACATGAACAAACGATGAACAGTTAAGGAAACAATCTCGATGATTGATAATCCAAAACAACGAAGGCTAACGAAAAATCGAATATTGTACACTCTCCTCTTTCTTCTCGGCTGGTGCAAATATAATTAATTTCAATCAAGGACGATAGTGCAGCGCTCAAAGCTAAAGAAAGTCAAGTACAAAGGGAACAGCACAGAATATACCCCCTTTTCCATTTTCATTTTCATTTTCAATTCCAGCCCCTGACCCTCCTCCCGCGAACGCAGATTGGGGCCTCCAAGCGAAGGTCAAACGAGTGCAGCAGCAAAGCGGAAACAGCAAGAACAAACAGCACAACAAAAGTATCAAAGTGTCAGTTGCTTTTGCAGCATAGACACAACCCACACACAATCTGTCAGCCCAGCACCACCCCAAACACCTCCTTTCGCGTTCATTACCAAGGCTACCCAGCTCAACCCTAGAGAAGTGCGTGATTCATTGCAGTCGTGATTTAAACACTAAGCCAACGTCTCATTATGAGCATAATTGAATGCCTGCTTAGGCGAAAATGTTATAGTAATCATAATGCACACCGAAATTGAACAAAATAAATATTTAAACTCTCTCTTATGGATTTCATCTCTGATTATATTACCACTTTCGTATAAAGAAATTCGAAATGAAATGAAATTTATGATTTAAATATTCAGTATTTTAAGTAACTGACCACCTAAAACTAAGCCACTAAGGCTATTCCCATTCCCATAACCTGCTTTTACTACCAACAAACTACTTTCATTAGAATGGTACATGTGGCTGCCATGAACGCAGTCACTCACGCTACCCGCCCTAGTTTGCATACCTTGTTCGATATTCCGTTGAGCAGTTCGTTGCTGTTGCCCAGCACTGTGAGAAACTTGGACTTGAGGGCCCCGATGCTGGGCGTCCGCTCCATGAAAAGTTTGATTTTCGACCGCTCGCCGGCGAAGCCAGCCGGCGGCGTTCCCGTTCCCGGCATCGCTCCCGGAGTGGGTGGCTGCGGCTTGGCATCCACCATGTCCCGGACTCCCTTTTCGAGCTGTCTGAGGTCTGGGCCTATAGCTCGGCCCCCTGGGTGTTGCGGACTTTCGTGGACAAGTGGGAGCGGCCAACTGCTGATGCTTCTGGTATCGATTTTTCATATGCTTGCATGTCGTTCACCGCGCGTGAAGGTGAACTTCGTACTCAGCTGCAGAATTTTTTGGCGCATTCCGTGTTCTTCTCAAATCTCAAAAGAAACTATTCAGAGTTGCAAGCATTTATTTATTTAAGGCGCAGTCTGCAACAGTTTTTCATTATTAAATATAATGATTTTCATATGGGGCACTTTAAGTGCAAATTTATGTAATTTTATGTGAAACACACATTTTATTGGCCCTGAGCCTTGTGTTTCTGGTAGTTGAGTAGATTGGTAGCTTAAATCCGTTGGCCGAGGACGACTAAACTAATATTGGGCGCGGTATTGTCAGGAAAATCGGTAAACTATAAAGGCACTTCTTCAACTCGTAGTATTTTGCATGTACTCCTTGGGCGCCCAAGTGGGATACTACATTTCCGATTCCCCCTGGCACACACACACACACACTAGCGCAGGCACACGCCCCTTTGGCACACGTACACGCAATGGGGAGGCGGGCGGCTAGCGGTATATATTTTCCTCTGAGTTTCCCACTCGCGTCCTTTGCCTGCAGCGAACATTGCGCGAATGCAGCCGGAAAATGCTGGCCAGAGTCGAAGTTCCGTTAACATTTGTTGGGCTTTTCGTTCGCAGCTGATATCGATTGCAAGGTTATTTACATACTATCTACATGTCATTCGATTGAGTCGAATTTTGCGCGCTAAAAGCTTTGACCGAAAACCTCCAAGCTTTCTACACAAGCACTCTTAGGAAAGCTTTTGAAAGCTCGACCACGGCCTAAGAGGAGTTCCGGCACTTTCACACCTACCTACGTTCAGCTGACAAACAGCTGAGGCAAGGTCAAAACGTGGGTGTTCTGATTCGGGGGTGGGACCACCCAAAAATGTGCGTGTCTGCAGTTAACGAACTTTGACTCTGTCGCAGCCAATTTAGTATGCATTGCAGCTATTTTTGGACCAGCTAGCGGTTATCGAACGGACCCCACGCGAACCCAGCGACGGGTGGCTTTAATTCCATAATTCCCGCAGTACCCAATATCTCCCATCTATTGAAATTGCCTTTTGATTTGCACCTCCGGCAGCCAGCAGGTGGCCCCTGCCGATACGTTTATTGCTGATCCCATTTGTCCGATCCGAAAGATATAGATGTTCTTTTTTATTACTCCCGTTTAATGTGCAGAAATTGTTCAAGGTTAGCTCGCAGGAGATCCCCAATTATATTTGTTTGTCATAAATCATAATTATTGCCTGGCTGTTTTCGCTATCCCGATGAACGATTCACAGTTTTTTCTGGGCGCCAAAGACTTTGGATAAATACGTTTCTAAAAATTAATGCCGGTATTAGTTGAGTTTTTACAGTAACAATCACACTTTCACAACTTACAAATAATAATATATCTAAAAGTTAAACCTTTTTAAGCTCCTTTCCTGAGGGAACTTTAACCTTATTAAGTTTAATATAAATATTAATGGTAAGAGCTTTCAATTCAATTGGTACGATTTGATAAAACCAAAGACGCCTTCCAAAATATTTTCTCTAAAGAAAACATAATTATAAATCTAACCAATTCTTTAGTTTTTCAGGATTTTATAAAGTTATTAATGTTATTAATGTTTATTAATTATTTAATAATCGAATATGTTAAAAAACATTAAAAAGTGGCCAGTGTAAACAAAAATGGTCTTTTATATTATGAGCTTTACACTTTTCTTATTTTCATTCATTAAATCGAGCCAAATGCAGGAAACGCAACAAGTAATAAATTGAGAATAACACACGGTGTTCTGCAAAATGTTTAACAACAAGAAGTGTATGACAAAGAATATTCAATAATTAATGTTATTCACACACGCGACGGCGTCTCGCAGTCAAACCGCTCCGTTCGAAAACGATGTATTTATAAAACAACGCGAAAATGCTGAAAATAGGAAATAGAGATGAGACAAGGCGCAGACTAAAGGAAATGGAAGGGAAGCCAGCAAAATGAGAATATTTGTAGATCTGCGTTGACTTCTTCCTACTCGTGCGACGACTGGGGACCGAGGACTGCAGTAAAAATGCTGTTTAGAATCTGATTGAGATTTCAGTTCGCTGGGAGACGATCGCCGAACGAGACCGTAGCTGAGTTTTCATGTCGCGCTGTGGCCAGACATAAGAAATATATATATTCCTATATATATTCATGTGCTACCAGCTGGCAGTGGCAGTTTTGAGTGCGGCAAGACGCGTCAAGTGAAATCGAATTATGTAAGTGACCTCTGCATTCTCGCAGCCCGATCGCCGTTCGATCCAAACAAGCCAAAAAGTTCAACAACAAAAATAAGTTCGCATCGCAATTAAATCGATTTGAAGTGTTCTAAATATAAACCTCGGCTAAATTTAAACACAGAACGCTCCATGTGAAAGTTCAAGGCATTTCGCAGAGTAAACAATCACACGGGCAATCAAGTATACAAACATGCCAAATATTATAAATTTGTTTTAGTCAATCCGCCAAATTAAAATATTAAAAACCGTGCATTAAATAAACGCAAGAATAGGCAAGCCAAAGAAATGTTTAAAAATAGTTCCCACCGTTCTCCCGTAAAAATAAAAGCTGTTTCTTTCGCGGCGTGAGACTGTGTCTGTGAGTCAGCGTTGCGTTCGCCTCGGTGGCTGCCTCCCAGGGCATTTGCCTCTTGGAGATGGAGATGACGGCGGAGCCGGATCTTCGTAAGGTGGAACTGGCTCATGCTCGTCCAACCACTGCAGGCGGCTTTCATAAATTCTGCTGCGCAGTGTGACACAATTTGGGCCAAATAATATGGAATAGTTGCAGAAGGTTTTTAAAAATAGCACGAGAGACTCGGGAGTTCAGGCACAGAGAGACCACGTTGCGTATACGCAATAAATGAGATAAAAATGTGTATTGTTTGTGAAAGACCTTTCGTAGCTTAAATGCATAGTCAATTCCAATGGAGCGTAAAGCCCACAATTAGAGCGTATAAACAATATGTAAGAACAAGCATTATCGCAAACTATTTTAATAAAAGTGGTAGAAGACTTTTCACCCGAGCTAATCAAATTTTTTTGTATGTATATTTATTAATTTTTATTCAAGTAATAGAGCATAAACAAGGGAAACGCAAGTGAACCAAAACACACCATATGTTTTACCTGTTGTAACTGACGTTGTGTTGTGTTGAAATTAAATAAAGATTAATCACAGATGGACATATTTCAAATTTAAACTTTGGCCACCTGCGTCATTACAAAACATTATTCTCTCTCCCTCCTCTCTCTTTTACTTTTGCTTATTTGCTTTTATTTTTAAGAATTTACGAAAAATTCTCTTCAAGTAGAAATTTTAAATTCGATTTCTTATCCGACCTCTTCACATTGCACCTGTTCTCTTTTCTCATTTTCTCTTTTTATTCCTGGCATGGCATCTCAGCCACTTTGCCGCGTTGACAGCATCCCTCTTTGGCATTTTTTCATAAATAAACAAGCCCGAAAATGTTTTGCCAAAAAATATTTTTGATCTTATTTTATGCACAGAGAGATGTTTTAGCCTAAATTTAGCAGTTTTATTCTCGATGGAACTCTGGCTGCGTTTAGTTGTGTGCACAGCATCCACGAAATTGCATTTTCTGTGCACCTTCCGCATTCGTTGCCTCCGGAATTTGGGTGAGAACGCTAAAAATATACATTCATAATTCGCATTTTTTGGCAGACAGCTTAATTGAATTTGAAGTCGTTCAAAGTGGCTGTTAATGGGCGGAAATATAGAACAGGGAATAAGTTTAACAAAAATAAAACTACGAAAATAGTATAAAACCGTTTTGTTTCTGAGCGTAATACGCAACTCAACTTCGGCAGTTATACAAACAAAATTTGATTTATTACTTACGTATTCAGATAAGAGAAGAAACAAATAAGGATTATCGAAATTACAACGAGACGGCAACTACACTGCGAAAAAATAAACAAAGATGTCGACCTCACATTTGCTTAACAAGAATGTTCGCTCTATGCCCTCATGGGTGGTAAGTACCTACCGTGCCCCGCCCTCCCACTTCATATCAAGTGGCATTAATTACCCATTTCAGACCGAAGCGAATGACCGCATTGGACCGAAGCCACCGCCCACGCCTCCAAACGGAGTGGCTGGGGGGTCTTCCCAAGGCTCCTGTCCTGCCGCCCAAGGCAAAAAACACGCCCGAGCCCGATTACGAGATCATCGAGTTCTCAAACCAGCAGTACTCCAACGAACCGATGAAGACCACAGTGATTAGGACCAAGACACCAGGTGACTTAAAAAAGAACATGCCAGCTTATACAACGTTAAGCTTAACGTTTGAATTTAAGATTTTATATAGTTGAAATGGACGGAATAGTTTTAACATTTTTGAAGTCAAGAAGACCAAATTAAATTAATTTGTCTATAATTGGTAATCCTGAAATATAAATTGACTTAAGTAATAATTTTTAAATCAGTTTAATGTCTAAAAGCAAATACCCCAAATTTCAATGGATAAATCATTTTGTAGATTAGAAAGTGCCTTCCATCAGGACATTTTCTCGAAACTACTTCTGCATATCTATTGATGGAACGAACTTAACTTTAACTAATTTTCAAAATTAAAAAAGAAGAAATATGTAAACAAACATTGGTTTTCTTGGCTTCAGACACAGCCCTTAATTTCTATAATGTCAACTCGTTCCATAAATTCTGCTTTAGATAAGCTTGCAGAAAAAATATTCTTTTCATTTTTAAATATGTCTGTCATTAGTTACCGTATTGGTCATTCTTTTTGGGGACGTTGTCTAGTTTATATACTAAATTTTGTGTCTTCACTTGCAGACAACAAACTTAAGTGCACGCTGTGTGGTTCCCAGAATCCCTGGGTGACCTGTGCCGAGTGCGCGGGTCAGATATTTTGTGCCTCCTGCGACGACATGTTCCATAAGCACCCGAAGCGCAAGCAGCATGTGCGAAAGGTATGTGTTGTTCTCCGATCCAGAAGGACTGTATGATTAATGTGTTAAGATGACATTGCAGGCCGTGGAACAGGGAACGCCTCCGATTCCCCCCAAGGTGCAGCCGGGTGGCGGGGCACCTGCCCCTGTGGCTCCACCACGTCGCAGCAAACGCGGCCTGCTGACTCCGTTCCTGGGCCGCAAGGATCAGGTACGCCACTGCACGATCTCCTAGACCCGTAAGAAACGACCCGTGATGGGCCATTAGAAAACCAAGTTTTGTAATCTTCTATTTGAATGCTTCAATAAAAACAGTCCTTGAAAGCAGAGCGCCCGCCCAGAGTCGTACCAAAACTAGATACATTTTTTCCATTATTTTTTCGACTACCGAAACCGCAATGGCACCCAACCCGACTCTTTCCAGATGCTGCCACCGCCCTCGCCCACGCCCTCTCACAAATCGCTGAGCGGCTGGCGGGGATCGTTTGGGGGCGGAGCCACGCCCCCATTACCACCAATTGCAAACGCCACTACCACCACCATCACCAACCAGATGAACAACCGACCGCTTCCGGATCCACCACGCAGCGAAGGCGGGGGATCTTCCAGGTCTGGTACCCCCAAGTCCGTGTTCGACACCATCCAGCGGCCGCCGTCGGTGCAGCTGGAGAAGATCAAGAGCAAGGCCAGCGCCACCCTGGACCGCATGGCCATCCTGCAGCAGCGGTACCGCCAGCAGAAGGCGCGACAGGACCTGAGTGCCAACAGCGAGCAGGTGAGAAACCGCCCGACTCCAGTTCACAATAAAACGAATTCCCTCATCATCGAGTGTCTCGTATTGTCTTTGTTTGGGAAAAATGATATCAAGAATCAGGTCCTTTGGCTTTTCATGTAACTAGCTTATGCGGATGGACAGACTTTCTTGTTCAGTTTTATTTTTGCCACTCATGACAAGTGCCTATTTGATCCAATCCAAGTTTTAACATTTATATGAAACTTTGCATATTTTAGAGCACGTTTTAAACAAGATAATAAGTTAGATTTTACAGTATCCTATAGAATTTTCTAGACGATTCAATTAGCGAATTGTGTGGTCAAATTTAAAATAAAGTATTTACACCATTGACTACACTGAAAGAAATCCTAGTAATTAATTTAAATAAATTTATTTCAAATATGGAATACAGTAGCGGACAAAAAAATTCCGGACTGGCAAACAAAATGTTCGTTTCGTAAATTTTGTTATATTGAGTTTATTGTTTCAAGAAAATTTGTATTAAACGAGTTAAAGGATTGTATTTGCAAATTGGTTCATTTGACAAATTGTAAAAAAATATTTTGATCCTTGATGTTATTTTTCCTGTACACCTCGTATCGTCGCTGTCTCGTCTCGTCATGTGTCGTTTCTCCCTTCCCTCTCTCTCTCTTTCTCTGTTTCTCGTTGGTCATTTCCCCACCGCAGCATTTGTCGAATGGAGCCGGCTTCGAGCACTGGTCAAACATTTCACCATCGCCCTCGCATTTTCGTTCCGGCAGCATGTCATCCGGTTTGAACTCATCCCATTTCGATCTCTCGGATGACTCACAATTTCACAATTCCTTGCTGCTCCAACAACGACAGGCAGCAGGCGCCCAGCGGCGGCAGATGAGCACCTCAGTGTTCAACCTGAACACCAACCCCCGACGAACATTGGCCGAAACCCAGAACGGCAGCGCATGGCTCACCAACCAGCGCATCCAGCAGGTGAGTGGATGAAAAAGACTTATTAAAGCAATTTATATATTAATGCTTGCTAACTTGTAGCTTACATAAATTAGGATAAATTACATTTCTAATTTGGCATAGTATTTGTAAGCTCTACGCTTCGAGAACAAACATCAAAATATATTGTATTTAGATAAATTTCGGAAAATTTATTAAAAACCAATAGCAAAGCAATAGAGTAATAAACAAAACTTAATGCATTGGGTCTGATTTTGAGACATCGGCAGAAACAGTTCACTGTTAATATTGATGCAAGATCTATCAAATTTCAACGAGCTCAATATAGAATATATCTTACCATTTCTGCAGGTGCATGCAATATCGCCTAGTGCAATAAAGAAGAATTTTCCTACAAGATAATTTAATTCGATTTATTGACAAAACCACATTGTCAGTCTGAAATAGGCTTTAATATGTTTTTCTTTGAGTATTAAACACAAAAGTCTCCATCTCCCGTTGCAGGCGCAATCGTTGGCGCAGCTAAACTGCGCCGGCTGTCAGCAGAGCCAGCAGCATCCTGGCTGGGCCCAGCACCACCAGCACCACCATCATCCGCAGCACCAGCATCCCGACCAATGGGGTTCACAGTTCGGCTCCCAGCAGCAGTTCAACAACTCCAACCTGTCGCTCAACGTGGGACCGGGCTACATGTCGCAGCAGCATCATCCGCACTACCCGCCGCCCGTGTTCATGACCCAGCGGGGAATGATGCCCAACATGTACCCGGGTGGGCCCGGCTACCCCATGATACATCCAGGTAAGATCAGGTGCCCCCGAATACGCATAAACAGTGACTTGAAGTGTGTTCCTCCTCAGGTGTCATGGGCATGCCGCCGTCAGCCGCCTCCAGAGCCGCTTCCCGTTCTCGGTATGCCGCCTCCCCGACGCCCAGCCGCAAGTCCATGTCCCTGCGACGCAAGCGCAACAGCTACGTGGATGACGAGCTGACGGACGACGAGGACTCCGACCAGGATGACCGCAGGTCCTTGGTCTCCAATCGTTCGGGCATGACGAGTGCCTCGCGCTCCCAGCAGCACCACCAGAGCCACCAGCCCCGTCAGCGGCGCCTCTCGAGTGCCTCCCAGTTGATGGTCGGCGGTGAGTTGGACGGCGACCAGAGGCACGGGCTGAGGCAGCACAAGGTGCGGGACCGCCGGGGATCCGTGGCCAAGTCCGTGCAGAGCGAGTGGCTGCCGGAGAGACGTGACACCAACGACGGAACCCTCACCAGAAGCAAGCCAGCCCAGCCAGACTCGGCCCGGACCAGTCGCATTTACTCCGACCTGGAGTCGGAGGGCTCGGGTGCCCGTGCCCTGGTGCAGGCCAAGATCCAGCAGAAGCTGCAGGAGGCCGATCAGCACAGGTCCGCCAAAAAGGTCGACCAAAGACGAAAGCCCGAGATGAAGGACGAGAACACACAGGCCGCGGCGGTGGTGCACAAGGTGACCACCGCAGCGCAGGAGGAGAGTGCCTCCGAATACGAGGAAGTGGTCGAAGAGGTGACCGCCTCAGAGAGTGAGGTCGAGGCTCCAACTCAAGCCCCCGATCCCCAAGAGGTCCCGCAGGAGATTGAGTCCGACGAACTGGGCCCGCCGCCTTCCACGCCAGATCACGAGTGGGAATGCGAGTTCTGCACGTTCGTGAACGAGCCCAACATCAAGATCTGCTCCATTTGCTGCAAGACCCCCAGCAAACCTCCGGTGCAACCCACCAAGGCCAAGCTGGTGGAGGAAAAACCACAGCCGCAAGCTGCAAAACCCAGTGCCATTAGGGTGGTCTCCAAGCCGGAAGTCAAGCAAACGCAAAAGCCTGTCCTGAAGACCCAACAGTCCAGCGAAAAACCTAATTGCACCGCAAGTAGTGCGACCAAGTCGAACCACGTCACCAGCAGAAGCTCAAAAATATCACCCACTATTAACTCCAAGAACGCCTCGAGTATTCCCGTCAAGACACCCGCGAAGTCAACACTGAAGACTTCGTCGGAGAACGAATCTGATAACTCACTGGCCAAGAGCCTATTGCACAAAGGTAGGATACAAAAGAGAATCTCATTTTTCGAGGGCACCAAGGCCTAGACCCCAAGACCACCACCCAAGACCAGGCACACCTAGTTAGTACACTAATCAAATGTAATCAAAAAGCCTACAATGAACGCATTTATGGAAACCAAATACAGAACATGACCACAACCCAAGCCGCACCCAGTTTGTTTAATTTAAATCCTCTGGCGATCGATCCCATACCCCCCAAAGCTAATGCTCTCGTCCGTATCGTTCCAGAGTCCGTTGAAAACATTTGGAATACTCTGGATGAGAGCATACAGGCGCAGGCAGAGAAGGTACTCAAGAAGGCCCAGAAGGTCTCCACCGGGTGCGGGGGAACTCCGCCCCGGGAAATAGCAGGCGTGGAAATGGGGACCTCGCCGCCTCCTCAGAGTATTTCCACACAAGTAAATGAATGCTCTCATGTTCACACAAGCTTCGGCTTAATCCACTGCTTCATTGCAGACCTACGACGCCCTGCCCTTTAACTCAAAGCCCGAGGAGACCTCGACAGGTGGCTTAGATCGCTTTAGGACCCCAGAACCGAGTAAGATGGAGCCACGCCCACACTATCGCAGCAACTCCCAGCTACCGCAGGAAAACGAGCGGTATCGCAGTGCCAATGACCTGAGGTACCACGATGGCATTGGCTTGGATCCCTACAGTGCCGGTCTTGTCACCAGACGGCCCAATTTTATTAACGAGCTGCGCATGCTGCAACATGTAAGTTGGAAAATCGGTCAAATTCACCAATAAAATACGTGCATGAAAAAATTTAAAAATCAAAGGTGTGCATCACCATTCTTCTGACTCTTATTACAACATTTTCTTGGAACGCTTTGAAATGGTGTTATTATGCACTTTTAAACTGAATTGTTTTAGCCAATTTTGAAAAATGTGTTTTGGTCAACTTGGTGGACATAAAAAAAACCTTTTTAGCTAAGGTTTAAGGTTATTTTTATATATACTATCAGAAGGTTTTATAATTTCAGTCAAAAGCTTGCAACGCAGTGAAGGGGCATTTCCGGCCCTATAAAATATATATATATATATTTTTACAAAGTTAACAAAAATTATAACTTTACTAATTTTAAATTTGTGTTTTAGTTCTTCGAATTATAGTAATGGTTTATTATTTTAGAACTACGATAAATTGTAATTTGTAAATTTTGAATAGAAATTTAGATGCTTTAAAGAACATTTAATTTATGCTATAACTGCAAGGATATACAAGCTTCGGCCTGCCACAGTTAGCTTCCTTTCCTGATTTTTTTTTAATTTTATAAAGAGTTATGTGCTATCAACAGTTGTATCCGTCGAATGATATCAAATAACTACAATCAAGCATTAAAAAATAAACATTGTCTCTTTAGCGAGTACATTTTAAATGAATTGAATTCTTGATGATTTCAGGAAAGAAACTTGTTTGTCAGGGATTGGGTTTATATGTTATTAAGCTAAGGCATGTATTGATATCCTAGTGGTAAGCTGATCTCTGTATTCTTTACAAAATTGTTTCAGCAAACCTCTTCACCCTTCGACATGCCCCTTGAGACATTCGGCGTAAAGCACGAACCGGCCAGAGACCCGGAAACGGAGATGCACATCATACTGAAGGAGCTGGAGCTGTACAAGTTCTCGGTGGAGGAACTGGAGGCGGCCCTGAAGTACTGCTCCCCCGACACGCATCCCATTCAGTGGTTACGCGACAACTGGCAGAAACTGGTGCAGACGGTGCAGAGTCTGTCCACTAAGTACGGTCAGGAAAGGGGCGAGAACACGATCGGGAGCGTGTCCCAAATGGAGGCCCGCGAGGCCCTGCGAAATTCCGGGGGCAATGTGTGGCAGGCGGTGGCAGACTGCATCCAGCAACGACAGCAGAAGTACAGGAAACTGGCGGCCAAAGGCAACTTCCTGCGGGACGACATCGTAAATGCGCTGACGGCGCACCAAGGTAATGTGGATCAGGCGCTGGTGGAGCTGAATCGCACGCAACTCAAGCCATTTCTAATGCGCATCTGGGGCTCTCCGAATGGCGTTGAGAATGAGAGTGGCGCGGCCATTGACACCAAGTCGGGTTAGTTTGTAGATCGTGCATCAGTCAGTCGCCATGCCATAATGTCCCATCTTCTCTCTCTCCCCGAATTCATTTGCCAACACAGATATCCATGACTTCCTCAACACCCATGCCCTGGACTGCCTGCAGCCCCCGTTGGCCGGGGAGAGTCCCAATCCCTTTGACCCACTGCGCCCTGACGACAGCCCTGTCAAGTCCACCTACGCCACGCCCAGTCCCTATCAAATGGAGGACAGCACCCTGAAAAACTTGGAGATACTCATCGGCAACATGGAACAGAACCAGGCCAAGCAAAACCAGGAGGTGCTGCGATCAATCGAGAGCATGCTGGACACCTTCAAGGGCAAGCCGGAGCTGGAGTACGAAACGGATCCGGAGATAATGCGTATCCTCACAAAGAGCCCCATCAGCACGCTGAAGCCTGCTGGACCTCTTGAGGATAAGTCCACCGAGGACGTGAAGAACTTCGTGTGGCAGCACATTCAGGACATTGTGCCCAATCTGGTGCAGCAGGTTGAACAAGAGCTCATGGAGAAGCCGGAGGTTACTGTTTCGGTTCAGGAAAGCCGGCCAAAGTTAGTGGAGCCTGAACCAGATCTTGAGCCTGAACCGGAGACGGAGACGGAGCCCACACCCAGTGTAGATCCAGCGGTCTACATCATGGAGGAATTTATTAAGCCGAATTTAAGGGAAGCCAGCATACGCGAAGAGCTCCCACCAAGTTTTATTTATGCCACAGAGATAGCCAACTTCAAGTTGGAGTTTGATCGTGGCACTGAACGATGGCACGAGGCGGAGTGGGAAAGCAAGGATCTTAAGGATGCAGAACGTATAGTATACAAAAGCTATATGGCTCCAAAAGAGCCAAATAAAGATGAGGTTCAAGAGGTAGCTGTAAAAGGATCAGCTAACTTGCTGCCAGCTGCGAAAATACAGGAGGAATCTGCTACAGAAATCTTAATCAACCCACAAAAGACTGAAACTAGCGAAGTAACAAGCCCACAAATTAAAGCTTCCCCACAATTGGAAAAGGAGGTGGTTAACGAAAAACTTTCACTACACACAAATCTAGAAACTTCAGCACCTTCAGGAACTGCAGAAATGATCGTTAAAGAAGAAACCGCACAGCCAGTAAAGAAAAATGATAAATCTAATGAAACTAGCATGAAAGTTGAGCTAAATTTGTCAGAATCACAAGCTCAGATTGGTGAAAACCTTGCACAACTCACCAATCTAGAAACACAAACATCATCTATAACTGCAGAAAAGATTGTTAATGAATCAATCACACAACCAGCAACAGAAAACGGTGAACAGATACCTGATAAAAATAATTTGCAAATTCGGGAAAATAAATCAGAATTACAAAGCCAAATCGATGAACGGCCCAGCACAAGTAGGGAAGCCAATAGAAGAAATAACCGATCCCAGCAATCGAAAAAAGCCAGATCGCGGGATCAAAGTCAAAAGCCAACTAACCGCGTAAAACTACCAAAAGATAAGGAACCGAAGGAACCAGAACCTAAAAAAGAGCAAAAAGAACATCATACGTCAGCTGAAATAATTGAGAAAAAGGAATCCAAAGAAGATGATGTATTCACTGATACAAAACCTAGTTTAACTGATATTCAGTCTGCTGTGACAGCAACTAGTGCTGAAGCTCTCTTGTCCCCTAAAAACGACATTCAATCTGAAAAAATAGCAAAGGAATTGGTTCCCAATCACATTTTGGATATTTCCTCGCAAGACAACATACCTCCACCACCCTCAGATGAGTCCGAAAATATATTGATACAAAGTGAGGTATCAACTGTTCAGGGACAACCAGAAAAGGACCAAGGGATTGCTGGATCTTCAGGCCCGAATGAAGTACAGGTACCCAATGAATCCAGTATTGAACACGTTTCTCTGCCAAGCAACCTTATCATTTCGGAACAATCTGTAGAGACTACCAACATAACGGAGGTAACTAAAGCTGTTACACAACCTCAAGAAGGATCAAGTATAGAGAATGTGTCTTCATCAAGCAATTTACCTGAAAACGATAGTTCATTTGAATCCGTCAAGACCAATGAAGTTACTGTGGAAGAAACTCTCGCTTCCACAATCCTTTCCTCCTCTACCACAAACGAAACACTAGTAACTGATAGTGTAGATATAGCACCTAGTACCACATCAACAGCCAACGAGTACAAGCGAAGTCCGAAGCGTTTTTCAAGGATTCCCGTGAGAACCTTGAGCAGCAACAGTCTGCGAAGTGAGAGCAGAGCAAGCAACCGTACTCCAACAGCAACTGATGAGATCGAATCGGAGGAGACCACCAGTGAAGATCACGTTAAGGAAAGCGACAACTCTGTTGTCAGCCAGGATAATCAGTCTGAAAAGGAAGTCGCAGAAAGTGCTGTCCAACCAAAAACTTCAGAACAAGAAGTGCCTACTCCAAGTGCAACAGCTATAGCCCTTACTCCCACAGACTCCGATGAAGTATTCGAGGATGCACCCGAGTTCAGCAGCAGTGAAGGAACCAGACCCCACGACGAAGGCGCTTCTGATGCAGAGCTCTATAGCCTGGACAGCGATGGTCAGCGGGCAGATACCAAGTCCCCGGAGAACGAAGTGCTGCTCTTGCTGGAGGAGCAATCCCTAATTGTCAAGTCCAGCAGCGACGCTAGCATTGGTTCGCAGTCAACCCAATCGGAAACGTCCAAGGTTGTCCTCAAGGAGTTTATTCCGTCCGGAGATCCGGCCAAGCAAAACCTCAGCGAACTGGTCGAAGACACTCAGCGGCTGATCAAACAAATGCGCGATGAGATCAGCATGGATGAGTTCGAGTCCACCGATGAAGACGAGTACTCCGACGAGTACTCGGATGAGTACGACGAGGGCGAAGAGGAGGAGTGGTACGACAGCGAGGGCGAAGAGGAAGGCGACTTCGATGGGGAGGGGGGCAATACTTATGGCGAGCACCCTTCCCATATAGAGGATGCCTCCACCGGAGACGAGGGCACCGAGATCGAGGACATCATGGAGGAGGACGAGGATCAGCCGGATGAAGTCGAGCCGCAATCCACACAAATCGCACAAGTCATTGAGCCAGTCATATCGCCTACTGTATCAGTCACGCCCACCAACACAGAAACTGATTCGATCGCACTCGCTGAGGTTGTTTCCTCCACAGGAAGCAGGAGCCTGGAGGCTCCTCAGTCGCAGACTTCTGAAGTGGAGCTGAGCCCTGTCCCTCGTACTGGTCAAGAGGAGGTGGAAGTACCACCTGTCGTGATTGAGTCCGAAAGCCGACCTGCGGAACAACCTACTGAACCTGTGCTGGAAATTCCCTTAGAAGTAGAAGAACCCATTGAATTGGAACCTGTGGAAGAACCTACTGCCCTGCCCATAACACCCGGACCCCCCATTGTCGATTCCGAGTCCCGACCCGTGGAACTGCCCGTCGAATCAGTACTGGAAGAGCCCAAAAAGGTAACCCCGAGCGTGAAAGGCAAAACTGGGGCCAACGGAACCAAAACAGCAAAGTCCACAGTCAGTAAAATCCCCAAGCCCACCAACGAACCCACTAACAGCTCGAGTAGCACCACAACCCCAAACAAGAAGGTTCCGATGCGCTCCAAGTCCTTCTCGGCGCCCATGGGCATTTCCTCGGTGAAGCGCATTCAGGAGGTCTATCTGCAAAAGCAGAGCTCATCGATTGGGGCCAGTCGAGTGCCGCTGAAGAGCAGTCCGACCACCAAGAAGTCCATCAACGATGCCATCAGCAGGTTCAACTCTAACCACGCCGAAGGACCCAGCACCAGTGGAGCGGCGGCGGCGGCGGCTGCAGCGGCCTTGCTGAAGCCGCGATCCCAGCCCCGGATTCCCAAGAAGAAGTACCACGAGACCTGCTTCTCCGACGACGACTACGAGACCTCGGCCACGGAGGAGGAGCAGGAGGACCAGACCGGCCTCGACGAACCCCTGAAAGCAGAACTGCTAAAGCGTAAGCTGAGTATGCCCGTCTTCCGGGCATATCCTAGTGTTCAAGAGCCTGTTATTGAGGACCCAGCGGTGTGTACTAGCCGAGAAGTAGCCAAGCTAGTTCCGTAAACATTCCGGTACGTTTGCTCACTTTCTTTTTAGATCCTGGCACGGAAGTATGTGGACCAGGAACTGGTGGCCAACATCGCTGAGGCCCAGATAGCCGCCACCTTGGTGAGCATGAAGTTTACGGAGGACGTGGCCCTGTGGGCGGCCAGGGAGTGCTCGGACCTGGACCAGGCCATCGCCATGCTCCAGCAGGAGTGCGAGCTGTGCATGAACAGTTTTCCCATGAACCAGATCGTCTCCATGCTCAAATGCCTCCACAAGTGCTGCAAACAGTGTGCCAAGAGCTACTTTACCGTGCAGGTAAATTATACCCTTGGGGGTGTGTTGAGCAGGCCTCAAGAAAATGCTGATCTGGTAACAATTATTATTGTTAAACCTCAAGGCTACTTTACTATTAGAAAACAAAACGTTGATTTGCTAACGAAACAGTTATTTTAGTTTAACCTCACCTTCTCTACCTTTACACAACAATTCATACAATTAAAATTCACTGTGCTAAATATTATGTGCTTTAGAGTGTAACTGCAATTTGGATTTCGGATTGCTATCAAACAAATTTTTGTTTAATTTATAATATCTTGAAATGGATGTCCCAATTAAATTCGAGTAAAACTGACAAAGTTACAGCGGATTTTCGAGTGAGAAAAACTTCACGTTGATTTTTCCCCGAATGCCATTTCTGAAGGCGGTGAAAATTCCAGCGCAAAATCTACCAAACCAATTTTTTGGAAATTTTTAAATATTTTCTATCTATAAATAATAAAGTACATCCACCATGAACTATGTCTTAAAATGTATTTAATGAATGAATGTAATACCGAATACTAATTTCATTTTACATTTGTAATTCTCTATTTTGAAAAAAGGATTGTACCTTTTTTCTTCGTTGTGTCTTTAGCTTTACTACAATTCGATATAATTTCAAAGCGGAAGGACCTCAAAAGAAGATTAACTTTGAGTAACTTTAAAAATGTAAAATCCAAATTGTAGTTACATGTTGCACTCTGTTAGTACTAGCTACTAGCCAAGATCTACTTTTAAAAGTATTTTCCTATTCAACGCTGAAAGCATCCCTCTTTCCTCAGATAACCGATCGCAGATTAAAAGATTTAAGGAGTAGTCTTCCGAAATAATTCAGCTAGTTTAACCTTTAAATGTTTCCAAAACTTTGTTTTTTGCTCAGATAACCGATCGCAGTATCAACGACTGCAGTTGCCCGTTCTGCAAGTTGCCCGAACTGAGTAACGAGGCCCATCATGAGGACGAGCACCTGGAGTACTTCTCCAACCTGGACATCTTCCTAAAGAGCATCCTGGACAGCGACGTGCACGAGCTCTTCCAGCGCAAGCTGCGCGACCGCACCCTGCTGCAGGACCCCAACTTCAAGTGGTGCATCCAGTGCTCCTCCGGGTTCTTCGCCAGGCCCAAGCAGAAGCGTCTGATCTGCCCGGACTGCGGATCTGTCACGTGTGCCCAGTGCCGGAAGCCCTGGGAGCGCCAGCACGAGGGCAGCAGCTGCGAGGCGTACCTGGAGTGGAAGCGCCAAAACGACCCCGAGCTGCAGGCCCAGGGCGTCCAGGAGCATTTGGCCCAGAACGGCATCGACTGCCCCAAGTGCAAGTTCCGCTACTCGTTGGCCAGGTATGTAAAGGCAGTTGGTCCCTTGCCACTAGAAATCTGGGCATGTCCATCTCTTTGTCTATCCGTTTCTACGCAAACTATGCTCTAAGTTTTAAAGTAATTCGGATGAAACTATTCCAATAGTCATTTTTGCTGCATAGAGAAAATTTATGAAGCACTTTTTGCACTTAAGGAATGTTGTTTTTTATCTGAACAAACCAAATAATGAACTGATTTTTATTTTTTTGCTTAGAATAATAATATCGCAAATAATTTTTAAGTTTTATTCTGATCGAAATAAAATATAAATATACAATTGAACTATTTTTTTTTTTGTGCAGAAAAAATAACAAAAGTCCTCAATGGTATATTTAACCTTACACAAGGATAAGAAATAAATTTGGCTAAAAAATCTAAAACAGATGCCGGGACGTACAGTTGAGTTTAATATTAAGCGTAAAATCATTGATATAATTAAAAAAGTCCTCACTGTCTATAGACTTATTTTCGATGTTAAATTTCATGGGGTCAAAACTATTACAAAAATGTCGTGTTGCAAAGCAAAATGTATATGTTGAGCAGCATAACTTTGAACTTTGAAACACACAGGACATACTTATTTTAGGCAAACCCATAAACCCTTAATGTTTTTAAATTCCTACGAAAAGGTATATATAAATTATTCCTTTTTACTATTAATTTATGAATTGCTTAAAAACTGTTGTCATAGATAATTTAAATATTCCTTTTTTCCAGGGGAGGTTGCATGCATTTTACCTGCACCCAGTGCAAGTTCGAGTTCTGTTACGGCTGCGCCCGACCCTTCATGATGGGCGCCAAGTGCACGGTGTCCCCGTACTGCGCCAAACTCGGTCTGCATGCCCATCACCCGCGCAACTGCCTCTTCTACCTGAGGGACAAGATCCCCATGCAGCTGCAGTTCCTGCTCAAGGAGCAGAAGGTCAAATTCGACACGGAGCCCATTCAGAGCCAGGACGAGTCCAGCAGCTCCTCCAAGGCCCGTGCCCAGGCCCGCTGCCCCATCCCGCTGCAGAAGGAGACGCCGCAGGGCCTCGTCGATACGGTGTGCAACACCGAAGTTCCGGATAAGCACGCTGGCATGTGTCGGTAGGTTCAAGCATTGCATTGCAGGGCCGTTGTCATTGAATGTATATAAACCAAGTGTCTCTTCCCCTCAACCTGCATACTTTTCAGCACTCACTACGTAGAGTATTTGGCTGGCAAGGTTGCCAAGGCCGGCATCGATCCGCTGCCCATCTTCGATCTGACGGACTGCGTCCAGGAGTTGCGTAGGCGTGGCATCGCCCTGCCAGAGCGCGGACCCTGGGACACCGACGAGATCTACAAGACCATGTGCTCCGAGGTGCGTTCTTTCCCTTTATTTGTTTGGCATGGCTTTGCTGAAATCAAGGAAATCGAGGAAATCAAGAAAATCGAGGAAATCGAGTTTCCTGCAGCCGGGGCGATTTGTTTTCGCCGGGTGATTCAGTCTACGCCCCCGTCGATTGATCGAGGCGGAAAAAAGCAAATAAAGAAAATGAGATCGTTTAGCCGCTAACTAAATTTGGATGTGCCGTCTGACGTATTTCACGCGCGTCTTAATTGATATTCGCTTTATTATTATTTAATTGTAAACAGTTCGGGCGGCCGAACCGCAGATGTTTATGGCTGTACCCATATCTCTCAATCTCGATCTTTCTTATAGGTAATTAAACAGCATATTCCCCTGAAGTCGGCATAAGCGGCAGCAGAAGATGGGATGCCTGGAAAGCGGTCGACTGTTGCAATTCTTCATTGGTTTTCATGATTTATGGCAAACACTTTTATAGACATTTTTATACACCTACATGCCCACGAAGCGAACTCCAGTCTTAGGCAGTTCTTGAGACACTAGGCATTGCACCCCTTCATCGACAGCCACTCATCGCCCAGTAGTCTTTCCCACTTTGTTTAGTTACTAAGAGATGAAAGTCCAGAACAGACCAACAATCCGCACGTGTAACAAAGTGCATCAATAAACCGAACATGTGAAATACAATGCCATCGTTTTTAAAATTATTTATTCATTTTGAGCCGCCGAGTAACAATGCGCAGGTGGTGCCGTTGGGGAATATAAATAATAAGCGCGTAAGTAGTGGCTAAAAGTGGGCGGTGCCCAAGACAAATTGTACCGAGCAACCTGCAATACCATTGTATACTTTCGAGCTTGCCTAGTCCATCAAAGCAAAGCACAAATTGATAGCTTTGAATGCCTTGAAAGTCGTAATTCCACAGAGAAACGGACTCTTCCCCTTGACCGTTTGCGATATTGCCAAAAAGGCAAATGCGACCCATAAATTATGTCCCGCGACAACAAGAAAAGTCACAAAAACAGCAACCACATCAGCAGAAAATAGACCCATACAGTAAGTGGGGGACATTCAAAATTCGCCGACGCGACGGGACAAAGTTACTCGTGGACACCAGGGAACGAGATGAGACGAGGGGCGCCGGGGGAGGCATCGTAAAAACCTATTTTCGTAGCGATTGAAATGAATTTATGCGCGCGGCACAACATGTTTTGATATTCGGACAGTTTTACACCAGTAGCAACTAATTAAATGGGATAAATTGTATATTTATTGATCCATTAACAATGGGCATTGAGTCTCAAGCTGCACAACTTGCATGCCGCGCTTTTAGTTCACGGCAGATATGAGTGTGGCATGGACATAACCAGATCATATGGCCTATGTTGGTCATGATCATCCAGCCAGTTTGGTTGTTAAGTTATTTATTTCGTATATCAAAGACAAAGTCACTTCGGAATTCATCGAATACTTTGTTTGGTTCGGAATCATTTTTCTAACGAAATTATATAAATAAATATATATAGTTAGTAATAGTAAGGTCGTTACCGGAGCACTTTTCTACAAACTCGTAGAAACTCAAAGATCAAATTAATATTAACAACTAGCTAAATAGATAAATTTTATTTGTTTGTTTAAAAGAAATCATTTTCTCATTTAGAAATGTCGCTATTATTTCGTATGGGAAAGTGTGAGAAATTGATATTGCAAAAGCTATATTTAAAATATATTTTCAATAGAAGAATAAACAGTTAATAAAAAACGTGCCACATCCTCTCTGCCTCGCTATACAAATTTTAAGAACAACATAAATTTGTTGTATTTTCAGGTGTTATAAAAAACTTTCACATTCTTCGTCTAGCCGGCATTATGGCATGCTGTCCATGGGCTTAGACATTAAACACATTTAAGTGTGTTGGCCCGTGCCTCGTAAAACAAAGCGTCCAATTCGGTTGTTTTATAACACAAAGTCAAGGTAAAGCGACATTGACCTTACCGCGCCAGTCAATTACAGGTTAACCGAAGACATTAATCAATCACTTTTGCCAATCGATCGCCTCCGACCGTCCTTTGATTCATGGCTGCCAGAATTATACAATTTAATAGCATTATGTAGAGCAAGAGGGAACGCGTAATGCAAACAATATGTCCGCCCACCGAACACACGGCGTAACCTCACCTTTGTTGAATTAACCTTAGCGATTGTTTATTAGAGACAGAATTACGGGCAGCGGCGTCACATCCTGTGCACTGCAAACAACAAGATTGTTTTTCGCCGGCTCTTCGTCCATTTGGCCGCTGAAAGCCATGACATCCAATGTCGAAGCAACTACAGAAAATCACCGGAGCGACCTCCGGAAACAACACAAAACAATTAGCCAGGCACCAATGCGGTATATAACACCAGTGTACCTGAACAACAACAAATAATTTATATTCAAAATAATAAACATTTACCTTTGGTTGTAGAAATGTTATTCCCCTTATTACTTTGCAGATCTCGTATGGGGCTATGAAACGATTGTTTGACTACAGTTTTTATAAAAAGAACTCCCGTTTTAGGTAAACTCAGTTTATGGTTCTATATTTTTGCATTTTGTAGGTTTACATAGGGTATTAACTCATGATTACATGCAAATTATGTTTTAAAAAGTCAGTTGTAATAATAGTAGTATATACAAAAAGGTTTCATACTCATCAATGGCATCCACACATCCATGGGTTCTCATCAATGATAGCTAAATAAATATGTTTTTATAGTCTATTCATATATATAAAACAAGCTTAGTCGTCATATAATTGGTCGTGAATGCACCAGGGGCACTCCTTACATATACATCTCTTTAAGGTCTAGGTCTAGACATTTGCATTATTTTGTATTCCGTACACATAAAGTAAGTAACGCGTAAATCACACATTATATGTATAGTACATTCATTAACTTAATCATAGGACTACATACATGTATGGGGTATAGAGTACATAGAAAATCATCGTAGCGGAAGACTAGAAAGGTAACACTACTGGAAAGTTATCCGTTGAAGTGTTTTTCCCCAAACTGGGTTTCATTATCCTACAAATTCTTACTACTTAGCTTTACCAAATTTGATCTATAAAAATCTATGCTAAATTTCAGTTCTGGGATTTTGCACTCGCAGAACAACAGAAAAGAACCGCCGAGAAGTGTCTTCTCTGCGCTGTGTCACATAAACGATCTTTTAGATCCACAAATTCAAACGTGATCAAACGTGATTAAATCGGGCGATATTGGCTTATTTACAAGTTGATTTAGTCGATAAATCCAAATTTCGGCTCGAGTTGCTGTTGGTGGTTCACTTCTCTTAACGACTTACAATAGATTTCTGGGTTGGAATTGATTTCAGGGAGCAGGGGACAACCGCTGCATCCTACTGCATCAGGTCCAGGGCGTGCAGACTCTCCACGTCCGGATCGAAGTTGGCGTCGCAGGTGGAGAGCCAGTCCCAGACCCGCCGCCGCACCATCGCCTGGTCGATGGGTATGTCCAGGCCGTAGGTGGACATCATGCGCTTGAAGCGCAGCTTGTTCTCGTCCCCGGATAGACGTCCCTCCCGCTGGTTGAGGTAGATGCACGAGTCCTGGTCGTGGTTGGTGGGCGAGATGAGCGTGGCCGACTTGGAGGTGGAGATGCGGCACTCCACCCAGCGGTCCTTCATGTACTTGGCCACCTCGGTGATCTTGCAGCGGTCCTCGGGATCGTGGCTGAGGTACTTGCGGAAGCAGCGCATCAGGCGCGGCGAGAAGCGCCGGAAGTTGTCCGGCACCTTGGTCGTCTTGCGCTGCTCGTACTTCATGAAGTTGGCATAGGACTGGTCCTTGACCCAGTCGGCCGACTGCCACGGCGGGTTGCCTGTGAGGATGTTGTACAGCAGGATGCCGAACTGCCAGGAGTCGCTAACGGGCAGGCACTGGAAGCGCTCGTTCTTGATCAGCTCCAGCTGCTCTGGCGGCACGCAGCTGGTCCACGTGTGCTTCACCTTGTGCACCAGCAGACCCTTCTTGGTGGTGGCCCCGAAGTCGCAGAGCTTGACGCGCGCAAAGTCCGGCGTGAAGACCAATATGTTCTCGATCTTCAGGTCGCGGTGCACCAGACTCTTCGAGTGCATGAAGCCGAGGGCCGAGCTCAGCTGCTCCGAGATCAGTTTGCAGGCGTTCTCGTGCAGCCCGTTGGGTCCGATGTTCGAGGCCAGGTCGCCGTAGGGGGCGTGCTCCATGGCGAACACGTAGTAGTCCATCGTCTGGAAGGCCACCGCGTAGGCGCTCAGGATGTGATGGTGGTGCGACAGCTCGTAGTTGTAGTGGAACTCCTTCTGGAACTCCTTGATCGTGGTCAGCTCGGCGTGCACCGCCTTCAGGACGACCAGTGTGCTGGTGGGTTTGTGCCGGCACAGCAGGATCTTCGCGAAGCAGCCCTCGGCCAGCGTCTTCTCGATGTTGTACTGGTCGGCGAACGTCATCAGCGGCAGCTCCACGTCCGGGATCAGGTGGATCTGCCCGCCGTCGTTCTTGTCCGGCTTCTTGTAGATGCTGCTCCGGCGGCTCACGGAGGCGGCCCCGGGCACCTCCAACCGCCCGGTGCTGGTGCTCGTCGGCGTCAGCGGCGTGCTGCATCGCTTCTGGTTGTTGTGGTTGGTGCAGGTGCTGCTGTTGTTGTTGCTGTTCCGGCTGTTCGTGCTGCCGCCGTCGCCGAAGGAGCGGCGCAGTCGGAAGGAGAACGAGCGTTTCTCTGCAAGACACAGAAGGAGGCACAGGTTAGGCGACACAAAACAAACAAGAAATGAAGCAATATATAAACAAATTTATCTATGGCGATTTAACTCTGAATTCCTATTCCTTAGGCGGCTAAATCACATCGTTTGTCCCATTTTCAATTCACTTAAAGCTCAGTTTAAAATATGGTAAACCAAATTTTTTGGATATTTTTCAACAATTTTTTTTTTATTGAAAATAAATAAATTTCGGCCAGCCGAAGTATTCAAAGCTTTGCAACTATTTCAAAAATTAAATATTAAACATTCGATTTAAAGACGTATACATTTAAAACTGTTGAAGCTATGATGATTTTCAGCTTAATTATTCGATTATTCCTAGGGCAGCTATATAATATCGTGATAAAGAAAATATAATTTAAAACTATGATAATAATGGGGTCAGTAATACCTCATTCACCGTCTCAAAAAACCAATAATATTTTTGTAAATGCGAAAGTTGAAAGGGTGTAGGTAACATCAAAAACTAGCTTACATAAAATTGTTACCTATTATTTGTTTTTTGTTTCCTCGGAACATTAACTTAAAAAGATTTTTTCCTAAATGAGTCTCCCATCTTAGGAAACTTGGTAAAACACTAAATAACTTGTACTATTTTAAAGTTACTTAAAGCCTTCCCAATTCAAAGTTAAAGCAAAGGGAGCACTTTTCAGAGTTGCCTTTTTTAATAAATCTAACAATGAAGCTTCTTATAAAGCAGTTCGAATGTATTCAGTAAAAGTTAAGGTTATGGTTATGAAAGAAATTTCGATTACAAATCTAAACCTGAATAAAAAAAGAACATTAGCATTGACCCTTGGCAACCCATGGCAACATAGATTTCACCTATTCACACCTCACACGGACTGACCACAAGCCAAACACCATTTCGTGTCACTCTGGGCGGCTTTAATTGGGTGTATTTTTGGTTTTGTTTGCTATGATTTATGGACAGCGTTTGATGTGCTGCTTCGGTTGCTTTTATGTGTCCATTTGTTGTTCCACAATGCGAATTATTAATTTATCAGCCAGCGGCGAACATAGAAAAGCGTTTTACAGCCCTCCATATCGAAATGGGCGTGAGGAGAACCGCCCACGCCCAAGACAGCGAAATAGACTATGTTGTCGCCGAATTGTCTGTGCCAAAGTTAGTGCAGAATTTGCGTAGATCCCCGGGGCGTGCTGGGCCATCTTCAGCATGAATTATATAGGGGCCGCGCAGCAAAGACGTCAGCATTTAGTCACTGACTGACGATTGCTCCGATTTTGGGAATCCGCAATCTGCGTAGTGCCAGCCCCAACACCCCTTCCTACATTCGGTCTCATTTATAGCCTAGGAAATCGCGAAAATCATTTGATTTGCTGCCGAATGGGACACAGCTAGACAGATGTATATATAATGCGTTAGCTGGAAAATCGCACCAACGCAAGGCAAACAAAATTTTAGCAAAACATTTATAGGGCGTGATGTGATTCTCCTGATTTTCTCACGATTTTACCGCGAATTGGTTTTGACACTTATTTTTGGCGATAGACTTCACAATCATCTTGTGCTCATATTTCATTTAATGGTATTGGAAAGCAGACCAAAGGCTACCGAATTACATCTTTTCAAAAATATTTTCTGATTAGATAAAGTTTAAACGAGCGAAAAAAGCATTCAAGTTTGTACAATACATGCATGCTCCCCAAGGTAGGTATCTATATAGTATACTTAAAATAGTTAGGGACAGCATATACAATACATGCATGCTCCCCAAGGTAGGTATCTATGTATATAGTATACTTAAAATAGTTAGGGACAGCATATAGTTTATATAGTTTACCTTTTTTTGGTTTGTCTTACTAATTATAGATTATTTTAATTACTCTTTACCTATGGTAGATTTAAATTTAAGTTACAGCTAAAAATAGGTATTTAATTAAGTTAAGTACCTATATATATTCTAAATCGATAAGCGTTCGAGTCTGTATAGTTATGTTTCTCTTGTTTTAATATGTACTCAATAATTTTTTTTTCTTTTTTTAGTGTTTTACTTACACATTCTATTTTCTTTATTTGTTATTCACAGCGCCTTCAATCTCAAAACAGAGACCATTATGATAGGCCAAATGTGATTTTAATTGTACCCCATTAACCCCGGATAAAAAGGTCCCATCAGTTTGGGGGGTGGACTTGTCATCATGAAGTCCAAGTCTTGCGGTTTTTGCTCGTATTCTTTCGAGCATTTCTATTTCCGTTCCAGAAGATATTGGCGTGTGGCCAGAGGTGAACAGGGCCCAGCCGCTAAGTAAACGGAGAGCTCCTGCTACACAACGTAGGGAAACTAATTTTGACTCGTTAGAACACCAAACAGCAAGTGGCCATAAATCAAACTTTCACTTTCCTCTCGTTCAGCTAACCATCAGTCCCTCCTGCCACACTCAATTCATCTTGGCCATTTCATCTTGATATTCTCAATTGCGGCAGAAACACTTTGCATGCCAAAAATAGCAGAACAAACAAATGAGCCAAAAAAGGGTCAGCAGGCATTCTCAAAGATGCATTGCGGCGCTCTAAATATAAATTGAAAGTCTGAATTTCCGTGAAAATCATATGCCCTCTCAGCCAAGTTGGGTCGTGTAAACAGAGGGTGAAAATAAACAAACCCCGAAGTGAAATGTGAAATGCAATTGCAACAAAGGCGCCAGGAGAAACGACCTGTCAAAGGAAAAAAATTCTTTTGATGAATGGGCGACCTACAGATGCACTCGAAAGGTGAGATTTCAGTTACATTTGGTTGATTTTATTGTCCTTCGTAAACATAGTTAAATTTGTGTGATAAAAAAGTCGCTTGAAATATTTTACCAATGCATGTGGTTAGGTAAAGTTATCTGTTATAATATTAAAAGATTTAAAATTTATTGATTTTCTTTTCTTTTGCAAAAACATACGTAACTTATGATTGGTAGTAAAAGACACTTATTTTTCCAGTTTTTACTTTAATACACTGTTTTATTAGATGCTTAAAAAAAGTAAAACTTAAATATATTCGTTAATTTCGAAGAGAATTAAATTACAAAGGCTTTACCAATGAAAAGATCTGAAAAGAAATAATTGTGTCAATATCTAGGGCAAAATAATTGTATTGAATAAATGTAATTATTATCTAGTGTATTTCTTAGGTTTATAGTAATAAATTCGGTGTAAGCTTCATTGAACAGCACGTGCAGGTTTCTTAGCACTTATCATGTCGCAGATTTCCAACTTGATTCTTATAGTAAACACAAGTACATATTCATCATTTATTCTTGGGAAACAGTTAAATGAATCTTTAATTAATTAAAGATTATTGATAAGCCAGTGGCTAAAGCTCTCAGGGAGCACTCGCAGATTTCCCAAGAACCGATACGCTCGCCCTGGCCGTCCAACTTTTGTATGAGTGACTGACAAAAAGAGCCGCCGCTGCCCGCCCTCCACAGTCGCCTCACGGGTGGGTCTCCACCAGCGTTGTGTCCCGGTTCCCGCCTGCTTGGCAACCCGCCCGACACTGTGCACGACTTTGGGGGCATTGCTGACGTCAATCGGCGAGTCGTTGTCGGTCGGTGTGCCACATACAGGCACAGATATAGCTACGGCTGTGGCCCCACTCACCCAACCAGCGATGCTGCCTCTGGGTCTCCATCGCATTGTAAGTTTCCTATTATTACAAAACAAATGCAAACACTTTTAGCCCGGCCAAGACGAATTGCCCGGGCTCCGCCACCCGTCACCCGCAGTCTGGAGACCAGAGACCATCGTCCAGGGACCATCGACCGTCCAATCCCCCCTAGTATCGAGCACCATCAGCACCAGTCGAGTATTTTAAACAATTGATCCGCTCTGATTGCCCAATCAGGGGCACTGGTTCACTCGATGTCCGACTCTTTGATGTGGGCGGGGAACTTAAGTTGGCTATCAGGACCTACGCCAACTCGAAAAAGTCGGAATGGCTTCTACGTGCTGCTCGTGTAGGATGGAGACCTACGACAATCTGTTGCCGTGCCTTCATTTCCGATGGAAAGAAAATTACACTCCTCGATAATTCTGCGTATGCAGTACACTTTTGGATACACCGTGACTGTTTACATTAAATTGGATTTGGGTCAATAAGTTCTAGGAGGATTTGGAAAATGTAATGGCTTTTTAGCACAAGAAGTGTGTACGATGTGCTTGGATTTTATTTTTACAAGGTAATTATAATACAAAAGTTTTGGATATCCCCTGCCTGTTTACTATCTCAAAGATGAAAACAATACAAAAAAATAGACCAACTGAAATGGAAATCGTAATCTACTAAAGTTATTGTTGTTCAATGAATAATTTTAACATTTTCGGATCGAAATTAGTTATTTCTCGTACATTTTATTTCAAGGCTTGCCCAACATTTTATATCGCGTTGCTCACTCCCTGTCGAACAAGTTTTCGTAAACAGAATATAACATATTATACAACAATTCAATAAAAATTAACGACTTGAAAGAAAATTTCCGCTGCGCTCACAAACCAGAGCTAAGGCAACCAAAACCAAAATAAACAAAAAGAAATAAAATTAAATATATATGGGTCTTTAGGTGTAGGTATACACGAAACAACAAAACCAAATTTAAATAAATAATATTAAGAGATCTTTTTATGCATTGATCCTACGTTTTAGAGAACGGATGAGTTTTGATATGAGGGCAGGCCAAATGCGAATTTTGTATATTTTTGTTGTATTTATAAAACACGTTTGGATCTGTACAATTTGCTTTCCCTATCTTTCGGCCACGGAGTATATTAATAGAATAGTAGGCGTGTACCTGCCCCTGCCCAGACCCCGAAATATTGATATATGGCAGCACTCAGAAAGACTACCAACAGCTGCTCTTGGAAGATGGCACACATGACCATCACGAGCCGGCAGGTGGCAATCGAGGATGCCAATGGGGTTGGCCAGGACGAAAGCCGGTCCTCCATAATACCTTCTTCTGAGTGCCGCTTGACGGGCTCGCATGCCAGGGCCACCGCGAATACAAAGTGGAACCCACGAGCCGTAGAGGCCTTTCTGGCTGCACAGTGAGTGACCAAAGTCGCCGCCCACGACACCGTTTCCATAATTTATTTTAATAGTTCCGCCTTTACGATTTATTTAATTTGCTCGCCTTTATTTAATACTATATCCGAAAGCATGTATTTTTTGCGCAAATAAATGCTTATAAATAGCCTCCTGTGAAGCGAACGTGAATGAAGATCGACACCAAGAAAAACTGAGAGTGTCTTGTAAAAAAATCATGTAGCTGACTATTTTCAAGGTAAGGTCAAGGTAAGTGTCGACGTAAAATCATTTATCAAGCCTCTCGTTGATAAAAAAATTTTGAAAAAATGTTGGAAAATGAATAATGTCCAACTGAGCAAACCCTATAAATAATATCTGAATAGTTTGCCCCTGCCGAAGGTGATGCAATATAGATTGAACCGATAAATTAAGTGGGCTATTCATGAGGGGTCACTGCAGTGCGAAAATGGGAAAAATACGTTTCGGAAATATTTTGCGGAGGTGGCTTTGGGCTAAACAATTGCTGTTCTATATCTCTCATGTGGTCCTGCGCTTGTAATATGTGTTCGCGGAACACTCAAAACGCTCGTAAATAATTGTAAGTAATGCTAATAATAATATTTGCATGGCAAACTGAACGAGGGAAATTCACTTGGATGGAGACCTGACGTCAACTTCAAGTTGCGATGAGTGAAATAATTAGAACGGTTTTGTTGCGGGGATGCGGATATGTAAAATGGAAATTAATTGGATTGGATAATTGATTGGTGACTTGTTTACCCAAAAGAAGAGTAATCAATTTTACTGATTAGAAGGATTTAAATTTCACCTATAAGGAATTGATAAATGTTCTCATGTCCTGTCGTTAAAAGTAATTGTGTACGTAATTTGCGTAACATTTAGAGAAGTCAACATAATTACCCTCCCGGTTTTCAAACAAATATTCTTTCCATGCAATCAAATTGCTTAATTTTCGTAATATAATTAGACAGAAGAGTGGTCACACTCAATATCGATATTCTACAAAACGCATTCAGACAGTCGGTAAACATTTAACATGACCAAAATCGATAAATGTACTTGTCGTTAAAAGTAATTGTGTACGTAATTTGTGTAATATTAAGAGAAGTACAAATGCTTACCCTCCCGGTTTTCAACAAATATTTTTTCCATGCACTTAAGTTGCTTTATTTTCGTAATATAATTACACAGAAGAGTGGTCACACTCAATATCGATATTCTACAAAACGCATTCAGACAGTCCGTAAACATTTACCATGACAATGTAATATGCACTCGCAATATATTGTTGTTTTCAATGATATAAGTAAAAAATCCAAGAAAAGTAAAATAAAATAAAAGAAAAAAATTTTCGAAACGGACGAGACAAAAACAAAACATTTAAAAGAAAACTCAATGGCAAAAACATCATCACGTGTGTCTAGTATAACAAAAACACCGCGTCTAGACTATATCCAAAAACTGGTTTAAACTGGCCTATTTGAAAGTGTTTTTGGAACCATTGACCACTGCATTGCTTTCGAAATGTTCTCTCATCGTTAAATAATGATACTTGGTTCAAGTTCCAAAATAAAAAAAGATTGAATCATTTTCTTTAAAAAGAAAAATTAATTAGAAAAATAGTATGTGTGTTCAATCAAGATGTTAGACTACCTTCTCGATCACACCTACACACACTGATAAAGTTCAATCTGCGTAAAATAAATTCCATTTATATAATAGACATTTATTGGCCAGACCAAATAGACGATTCATGTGATGTTTCAGCGGCTAAAGCGAAGCAAAAATTAATAATTTATTAAATACTACACACTTATATACGTACGTATATTCGTACAAATTAAAAAAATGCTTTCTTCAGCGTCAGGAGATGAGAGGAAAAAGCATTCACAGTGCTTCCCACGCATTTAACTGAGCTTTCTCCTCAAAAAAACAACCATTATCTTCCTCTGTCTTTCGTTTTTTATATTCTGCAATTGCAGTGTTTTGTTATACTATCCAGCCAGTTCAACACTGTAAATCTATTAAATTTGTACACAGTAAGTGTAACCTCATGTAACTAAGTTACCCTTGAATCAAGTTTCAAACCATTTCAGCGTACTGTCATCGTACTGTCATCATACTGTCATCGTACTGTCGTCGTACTGTCATCGTATTCTCATGTAAGAACAGGGTTTTTTAGTTATACAACTAATTTATAAATTTCCTGCCGCAGACTAATAAGCTGGAAACCAATAAAGATGGGACTCCCACAACGTGCAGACGACGGGTTTGAGCCTCGCAAAGAGAAATACCTTATCGATGAAAACGGGAAAATCTGCAGATGCCCCATTTGCCAAAAGCCCCTGGTGAAGAAAGTGGCCACCAACTGCGGCCATTTGTTTTGCCAGGGATGTCTGACCAACGCCTTGCAAGAAAGCCCTTTGTGCCCCCGTTGCCAGACAGAAGTGACCAGAGTGCAACGTGTATTGTGCTAATTCCAAGGCACCGTTTTTTGTTGCAAAATTTGACTCGGTTCAAACATTTTTTATTGTTTTCTCACCGATATTAAATGCCACAATCGCCAAGTTATGATGTTGTTTCTTCTATTAGCTGGGTCGGTATGGCGTTGCACTAGACGCCAAATTAAAACAACATAATGAGTCGCGCCAGTAGAGAAATTATTTATATATCTTTAACGTGCTTATTATGAGTATTTACAATGCTTAAGTACATATTTTTATTGCGTGTCAATGGCAAAAAGCGCGTCACAAACGCACGGAGCACAGAAATTCTGTGCAGTCCGCCTTCTCGCACCGACTCTGATGGATGTATCTTCTGCGGGGAACACTTATATATCTCATCTTTTGGTCAGCCACAATATTTCTCGAGCCGACAGCCGACGGCACGACCTTGTCCCACGGATCAACGCGTAGAAAGCGAAAGAAAAACTACCTCTACATTATTATTAAAAGGACAAAAGGGAATTATAACCTTGGCGATATAAAACATTTTAGTTTAATTACATATTATTATACATTAATTATAATTGTTAAGAATACAAGTGGTCTTACCTTTTATTTGACCCCCTTAAGTATTGTGTGATTGTATTAAACAGGTTTGGATAATCTTTATGCACTCCCCATATCAGTTGACTATAATTATCGATAATATTTCAATCGCCTTCTTGCCCATTTGCTGTTCGCGATTGTCTCGACAGGTTCATTGCACCTTCTCACAATTTGAACACAATCAAAAATCATTTGCAACATCTCGAGAGAATTATTTGCACATTAGCCTAGCGGTGTTGAGAAAACACATCTTGAGGGCACACAAGTAGCACTTGGCTGGTCCAAAATAGCCCAAACACATTACACCAAAGAAGACATCGCGCATACGACGCGTGTGCCGCTGGGGTAATTAAAAATCCGAAATCGTAAACAACGATGAACGGCAAAGTGCGAAATGTGGGTATTTTTTTAAGATTTTTTTTTGGTAATTTGTGTATATTAATAAAAAAAATTTTCATATTTCAGGATTGTTTGACTTTCACAATTGTGTGAGGTTGTAAATATAATTCTATTGGTAATAGTTGTATTAAAATAAATGCAAAAAATCCTTAAATATCCTTACAGGTATTATATTTCATAAAAAATTATTTTCAAACTTTTACTCTCCGCCCCAACCATTTACATATTTTTGACAGCCGTCAATATTTTCAACACATTTTTTCAATTAGGGAGCATTAAATTTGTGAGCCTAGACACACTCGGCGTTCACATGTTTTATTTTGTTTATCCGAGCAATATTGAAAATTTGCTTGGGCATGAGCAATGTTTGCGCTGCTGCTTGACGCGCTCGAGTTCAAATTTCCACCCATATCAATACAGACGTATTTAATATTATTTGAACGAGCATGAGAATTTTCTGTCTGTAGCCAAAATCGTTAAAGGCGGCAATTGGCTTCGCACTTCATTAATGGCCAAAACGAAAACACGAAATAAAAATTACGCATTTATAAAGAACTATATATTGACGTTTTTTTTTTGTTGTTTGTATGGTGGCATTCAAAGTCAAGTTAGGTGGCTCTCAGAAATATCAGCAGCAATGCCATATTCGTTTATTTTAATTTTCGTTTCAGTGAATCCCGAAAACCAAAAATGCTCAAAATTCGAATCAATCAAAACATTTTTTGCCGCTTGGTTGAAATTAATCGCTTCCTCTGTCCGCTCTATAAATAATGTATTTGCATATCACATGTTATTCATTGATTGAGGAGCTAAATCCCATTTTACGTACTTGTTTTTGGCAGACAAATCTATTTTAAATTGACTAATTTATAAGAAGACATTGATCTCTATCTGATCTTAATTAAAAGGGATTTTTCATCGATTCTTGGAAGATTCTTCTGCCGTTGCCATCAACTTAGTTCAACCTCAAATACCTTATTGGCCACTGACGAAGGAGATGAGAATTGAAATCGATGGGCGGAACCCCCACTGGGATGAACACACATCTAGTCTGCCTTGAGGGCAGCACCACACCATACACACACACAGTTTGCCAGTTAGATTACATTAAAACGTACACGTAGTCAATAAACACAATGGAACACAGAGTTGAGTTATTGTTGCAACAAGAGGAGGAACACAAATTGGCACGAAGATCGGATCACAGTGCTGACCACAAATCGGAGAATGACGAGCCCCATCTGACGCTCCAGCTCAAGAAGCACTACGAGACAGAGGCGGAGGTCTTGGGGTTCCTCGTGGACCTGGAAACCCGGTATCGGCAGTACTACGATCTATACCAGTGTGAAGTGCAGGCCCAAAAGATACTTATCGAACGAATTTGGCTGTTAACCCAGCGCTATCTCATTCTGATCAGCTCGGAGCAGACCAGGTATCCCGAGGTGTACACATTGTCGACCGAAGAGGCCATTGTCAACGAGTACGAGGAGAAGTTGGAAGTGGTGCGAGCCTCCAAGTAAGTCACGTAGACTACTAGTAGTAACAACCCGTGAGTAGATGGAAGTTCTAATACTACTATTCGCTTAGCAACACCTTGAAAAACTCCCTACTGGAAGTAAACCAGCACTGCAAGAAGTTCTATGCCGCATACGAGCGACTGGACAAGAGCCGGGAAACACCGTTCTTAATGGGTGACAGCCACCACAGAAGCATCAAGTACCATAAGATCATGGCCGTCGACATATTCAACTATTTGTACGCACTGGTGCTGAAGCTGAAGTGCTACATGCATCAGCTGGACCCCGTGAACCTGGAGAGTGTTGAGGATTACCGTGAGTTGCTGCAGAACGAGTCCGTGATGGAGGAGTTCGACGAGTACCTTAAGGTGCACTTCGTCTACTGCAAGTGCCTGCAACCGTATCCAACTTGCCCGATCCTGAAGCTCAAGTGCTCCCACCAAAACCTTGTAAATTTGAAGTATGTGAGTCGCATATAATTAGGACAATAAATGGAAGCCCTTTAACATTACTTTGTATTCCTTTAATTTCCTCGCTTTATTGAGTGCGATAATGAGTGTCCCATTGACATTTGTGGGGCTCTATTACCAAAATGAAATGAACAACATATAGAAGCCCTAAAACCTGCCATTGTTTCCAATTATTGACTACATAAGTTCCCCTAAACGTTCAGCTCATGACAGTATAGCAATCGGGATCCACGCTGGGATGCCGCTCGTTCAAAAGGCGCTCGAGTTCCTCCAAACTGAAGTTATTTGTCGTGCAGTAGGGCCATGAGCTCCTTCTTGATGAATGCACTCAAGGGCATAGCAGCCGTTGCATACACCAAAAAAACAGTGGGTATAAAAAATACTGTCTGTAGTTAGTTTTCAAGACACACTTATTATTATTTTTTTTTTTTTGAGTGCAGGCAAAAGTGGAACCGGCGGCATGGAAAATTGTGTCGCTGGCGACCGCTGCAGGTGATGCCATGTGGCGGTGGGTCTCATCTCTGCGAGGCATTTTATTAGCTTAGATTGGGGGTGCCCTTGGGAAGAAACATTTACTTATTGCTTTGCATCCATCTGTGTTTCTCTTGAAAAAGTTAGCTGTACTGCGACTTCGCAAATGTCATGTGCTGACAATGTTATACTCAACACACTTCAAATATTAAAGAATATTTGAGTAAATTTAATATTCGAAAGTATTTAGTGACATTGAATGTAAGACTTAAACGTTTTGATACTTTTCGAAAGTATCTCAAAGAAGCACTTATATATATATATATATATATATATATTTATGAAATAATAGACTAAATTTTTATGTACTTTTGTAAGAATTCGGAATTAATACTGCCAAAGCTTAACTAAACAAAATCAAATAAAAAGTTTAAAAAGGGGATTTTAATGCTTTTTATAATATACTTTTTTTTTCTATTTTTGCCGAACGTGATACATATTCATTTAAATATGCATGCAGTTGTTTTTCGATTTTTACAAACTTTTTTTGCTCTACGTACTCCGGTACTCGTAAAATATGAAAGTGCTGTTTTCGCAAGATAATTTTTGTTACGTCTGTATTCGAATCACAAGTTCATGCTGCCTAAAGCAAATATTTTATTGCCAATTTTAAGTTGTCGTATAAAAGTAATTAGCTTAAAAATAAACACAGTATGATTCGACTTTTTATGTTTATAACTGCTTCAACAACGCTTAAAATAATAACAAAATGTAATATCAGAGACTAGAAAATATTCTGCTAGTGCATATAATAATGAATAATATATTCATTTTTATTTGAATAATAATGAATAAAATATACATTTTTTTTAAGGCATTTTTAGTTACAATTTTAAGAGGACTGATTTTAGATGTGAAACCAAGATCCAGAAAAATTGTGTTTCTTACCAATCTGAAATTGAAAAGGCCTCAGGGGCTGGGCTGAAAGACATTGTCAAAGTGACCTTATCTCAATCGTTACTTTTTGTGCTCGGCATTACCATGGAGGCAGTGTCACTTCGTTTATCTATGGTTTTATTCACCCCTGAACTTTTAGCAAACGCCAGCAAGAAAAGTGCTTCGAGGATGTTTCAGTGCTGAGCAGCGTGTCACACCAGCTGAAGCGTGTTTAATGCGACTGGGTGTGGGTACGGGCCCAGTCTGCGCTCATGCAGAAGTCACATCCCGAGGATGGCATTCAAAAAGGAAGCTCTGGCCGCAGGTGGCACTTGAGAATGCAACTGTCGTGTGGGGCCTGCCACAATGAACCCATTGAGGCAGAAGAGATGGCAATCAGACGGCATTTGTGGTCGCGCCCGAAAGGACACTGGATCTGAATGGCCCCAAGGCCCAAGGACACCGGCCTGATGCCCAAAACCAAAGCCCAAAGCCACCTGGCTAATGACCGGCTACTGCGGTGGCTACACCCACCACGCACACACACACATTATTATGAGCGGGGAAAATCAGAATCTCGTGCGTCATTCGATTATGAGTTTAGGGTCTATCCCCAACCGCTGGCCCGCCCCGCTCGCGCCTAATTTATATTATACATTTTGGATAAACAAAATTCATGGCATTTTAGCGGGCAGGCCGTGCAGACCGACCATGTTTATGATAATGACGTCGTTGTCATTTGTCGCTTGCTGTTCCTTTCCCATTTTTTGGGCTGGTGTTGATAGCAGCTCCAAGCGGTATTCTGTGTGGGTTGATTGCTCTCTTGGGTCTGTGGGCTTCTGGGTTTATTTTTAGCCAGGATAATTGAAAAGCAAGCAACAGAGAAAACAGCAGGAGCCAAATGGAAATGAAGGGGGCGTTGACAAGGGGACGGACTCCCACATAGAACATCCTATTTGATTGAAAAGAATCTCGTCCGTGTTGTTTGAGCTCTCTGAAGAGGATTATTTACATAAATATAGGGTTGGCTCGTGTCAAGCTGGCCTGGACAAACAAAGGATGATCGGATCGGATTGGACACCAAGCAATCAAAGAATCAAATTGTGCAACTCTTTGGTAACCACTTGCCGTACTCAGGTTGGATTGCCCCAGGAATCACTTGCAGGACGGCGGTGATAAGAACATTATATTATAGTTAATATATTAAACTTTTGGACTGCTAGACAAATGGCGAATTTAATAACCTTCAAAGAATATATTAGACACATAATTTGTTAAGAACATGTGTAACTTCAGTAACAGAAACATTTTAAAAATATTTTGGTGGTTTCTCAAAAAAAAATTTTATTTATGACCATAGTTTCATCATAAACTAGTTTATAAAAAAATATTTGTCGGTGGGAAAAAACCATCGATTAAAACTAAAAAATATATTTAAGAAGCTCGCCCGCCTTTGAAAACACCATTTTGAGAAAAGCGCTTTAGATTGTAATTGTACTTTTAGGCACTCGAAAACGCCATTTAAAATTTGCGTGTTACTTCGAAAATATCACCAGAACGACATGTATTTTAAATATATGTACACTTGAAAAATAAAAGAAAAAAAAACGTTTTTTTTTTTGTATAAAACCCCTTAAAGAAGGAAGCAAGTATTCTACTCACCGATAGTGCCCATTTTTGTCAGTTTGGTTTGCTTCAACAGTAATCCAAAATAATCTAATCCTTTTTGTACTTTTAATGTGTCGGTTTTGTGTACTGATTTCACCGATTTCAGAGCGTGTTTTCTTGCCAAACAAAACGTCAAAAAAGCTGCGATCACACTTAGAAAGTCACATTGCAAATAGCCAAGTTCGCTGATAGTTGACTAGTTATTGGTAAACAAAATATTTTCCGCTATGCTTTTGTTTCGCAATTTCCAGCGTGAGGTGGAAATTTCAAGGTTGCTTCACAATTAGAAATAAGTTGGCAGAACAAGATGAATGGGATATTTTAGGTATTATTTTCTTTATTTTTGCGAACGGATACGTAGTAGCGGCAGTTTGGTCGCAAAGAATAATGGCAACAATATAAATACACAAAACACAAGCAGCGAAAGACGCGACAAAAATCAACGGCAGAAATCACGGCACTTTCACGTCCACACGTCAGGAGTTTTCCGTTATGAATGATTTCCCATTTCCCAGACGGTTCGGTTTTTATATTGGCATGGACAACCGAAGGCGTTCGTCGGCAACTTTAGCTTTTAAGCTCTTAAAAGAGCACTTTTAAAAATTAATTATACCTTGAAGAATAGATCTGTTGCGCAAAATGTATGTTTGATGGAAATTAAATTCTATCTTCTAAATTTTATTCAAATTAAACAGGTAAGATATACGTATTTTTTAAATTAAAAAAAAAATATATAAAAATAATTAAAAAATGTTTACGTTTAACATTTATACTTGTTTCTTAATAAAATGGTTTTAAAAATTAAAAGAACTATTACATTTTTACAAGTCTCTTAAATATTTAAAGAATGCCTTTGTCCCTTAACGCTCTCTCTTAAACTTTTGCTCCGGTTTCCATGTTGGAGAAAAGCTTCTTCGACTGATGGGGAAAGCTTTCATCTTTGTTGCTGGCATAGTAGTTTTCATTCGCGCGCAAGAAGTGAATGATGCCGTCTAGAGTTCAACGCATCCTGGCAAACCTCCTTTGATTTTTCTCCGAACCGGATATGTGTGCTTTAAAAAATAGCGATATTTTTACATTTTAATTAAACATTTTTATTTTAAAAACTGTGCTAATATACATTTTTATTTAATTTAGGATTGTAACTTCTGAAAGCAATAGTATAACAGAAAAATATTACCATTTAAAAGGACTTTTAAATGCTTTTAAATTTTAAAACAATGATGACGCTATATTTTTCTATCGAATCTAAGGCAGCTAATAGCTGTTTAATTTTATTCTAATTTTATGAGTAATAGAAGTTTTTAATACCTAAGTGCCCATGTAGGGCATGAGCTTAAGAACAACAACTCCGGCATGAAATATTTTCAGGGAGCATATTCTAAACACTTAAACTGTCTTTCGCATGAGTATTACCTACCAATACCAACTCCGTATGCGTCTGACGGGATGCATAGACTCAGCGTTAATTTTGCTTATCTATGGTATGCTGTGTTAGAAAACCTACACTTATAAAATTGTATATTATATATAAACATTAAATTTAAATCATAGTATTAAAAACAATGCCTATTAAACTTCATGATTTAATATTAAAAATCTTAAAAAAATGTGCAAAATATTAGCTTTAAATTGTTCCTATTTGTCTTAAATGCATTTTACATGGTTAGTATTTAAATAACATGTTCAGATATTTAAATCAAATCCGTAAACAATCAAATAAAATATTAAACAATGTTTTAACATTTTCATATTTTAAATAACTAAAAACGCCAATGTGAAAATATTTAAATGAAGTACAAAATATTTGGATTTAATACGTTTCATGGTTACTCTCCTGTTGTTTGCTTGTCTTTTGCTTTTTTTAGGGACAAATTTGGTGTTAGGCCTAGATTGAATTTCAATTTAATTTCGAATCTAGAAAAACAACGTTCTCATCCATATAATTTTATATTTCCTTCTATAATAACCCCCTCTACTCGGGCCTTAAAGCTATTAGCTGGCAACTCAAACTTATCACTTCTGTCTTGTCGAGCTCCCTGACCCAAATCAGCTGGAAGTCTTAACCGGTTCCGCCTTCAATGTAAACAAACTTAATCTGGTGCATTACCTCAAATTACCATTCCGAACATCACCCCGCCCCGACCGAAATTAATTACCGCTCCAGTTGCAAGAACAACCGTCTTGGCAAGTAAACCAGCCGACCAAACGAGAGGCTAAATACCAGGCAGTTTTTTAATGCAATGCAAATAAAGCAGACAAATGAGAGGCGGCCCCTCAACTTGGTCGACACGCAAGGACACCGGAGTTGGAATCCGGCTCCTGTCGAAGGTGTTGCCGTGTGCTCGTCGTCCCACCGCCAACAATTTTGCCGCAACTCCGGCAGAAGCTCGTGCCGAAACCGCTGCGAATCAAGTTTGGCGGCTGAATTGTCCTTGAACCAGATAGCCCCTAGATTCCCATAGAAGGCAGCACATGGCACTGACGTAAGGGCCGGGTAACCCCAGCTTGGCCCAGTAATCGCTCAGCCCCCGCTCTGATTGTGGTGGCAGTTAACTTGATTATTTTACAAATAATTGAAAAGTTTCCCTTTTCCACGCCCCTGCGAGAATTGCACAAATTGCGCAGACAAGACCGCCGTGGCAAACAGCAGTCCATCCATCACCAGTTGGCTGTCACTCCACCACCCAGCCAACGTCGCTCCGTCGACTTTTCCGGTCCCTGGATCCAGATCCACTTCCCCTGACGTAGGCAACTCTTTTCCCGGTGACGACAACGCCGGCGATGACACCAACACCAAACAACAGCGATGACGACGACACCCACCGCTCCTTGAAACCGAGGAAACAAACTGGTATCGTGCAAAAGCACCATTCACATGACGAGGATTATTCGGTGCCGAGGAGCATATGTTTCATTTAGGTAGCGATACCGAAGGAAAGCACTGGGTTGATCGCACTTGTGTACAATTTGTTATTGCAGAGGGTAATATAATTTCACTCAAAAGTTTGCAATGCAATGAAGGAGGCAATTCCCATCCATGCCTTTCTACGCAAACTAGTCCATTTTTAAGAATATGCTTATATATAAGTTTCCCAATTCAGAAATACGATTTTTTTTTTATTAAAACAACCAAGCGCATTCATATCGCACATAGGCACAGAAACTATCACAAAATGCATTTAAAATCGACATATATTCATGTCGAATATCGGCTTATGAAACATTTAAATATTGGGATACAATTTTTGTATACAAAACTTCGGCAAGGCGAAGTTGAGTCATTTTTTTGTTTCAAATATAATACACAATTTTAAATACCTGCGATAAACGTTGAGACGCATTTTTTAAACCTTTAGTTTAGTTAGTTTAGTTTTAGTTAGTTTAGTTTTCCTGGTTGATAGCTAACTATTAAAATGTACTTAGTTTTAAGCAGTGTGCTTTTATACCCATCTTTGAAAATTTCCAATTTTTCCAATTACTTATCACACCTTTAACAAAAAAAAAGCTTATTCATGATTTTGAAGGTCATTTTTATGTCACCCAACATCGCCAGGTAACCGACACAAACATCCATTTTCATTCGACCTAACCCAACGTGAAAAGTGCAAAAGGTATGCTTCAAACATACAGCACGAAGGTATCTATCTCGTTAGTTCTGGTTTCCATAATTTCTAATTCGAATTTCAAAATCATACAAACAAAATTTCAAAGTATTTGTCTTGAAAGTTTTCTCAAATTATTGGCAAAAAAAATCAGTAAAAAATTATTTTAAAAGAATTTCGGTTATTCCTTAAAAACAAAAAGTTCAGTCTAGTCAGCTTTAATTAATTAATTGTTATTCATATTTCACACATTTTTTGCATGTATAGATATTGTTGTTATTGCATGCTTTCTCATAGTTAAACTACAAGCTAACGCTGAGTTTTAGGTTTCTCTTTAATTGTCGCACATACCTTCCGCCATAATAGATAATAATAAATGTTAACTTGGAATAGGAAATATTATATTGGAACAAGATCGTGTAGTCTTAAATTAAGCCAAAGCCAATTTAATGGTTTTAGAAAACAATGCTTAACAAACAATTTCACGAATGCTAAGCCCGGAACATGACTTTGAGTGTCTCAGCGAGTGCGGAAGTCCGGAGTGGAGGCAAAGCCTGGCCCAGGAAGCAACCGAGTTGAGCATGTTCCTATTAATAGAGTCGTTGCCGATGTGAACTTGTGAACTTATTTCTGGCTCAATGGTTGCCAGGCAGCGCCGCGAATTAACAACCCACTCACCCAGTGGCCCAGTCGCCCAGTCGGATAGTCGGTTAGTCGGAGCAGCAAGTGCCCCACTCAGTCGGCTGGCGAGGCTTCCGCCATGCAGACGCGTCCGAGCAGTGAGCCGCAGCGCGGAAAGGAGCAAGCGAGGGATCAGGTGGACCGGCCCCAGAAGTGCGCCAGTGCCACGCTGGCCAAGAAGCCAGCAGTAAGTCCGCCGGCGGCTCCACCGCCCACTCCGGCCAATCGCGTGGCTGCCCCTCTGACGGTGCCAGTGATCCAGCTCACGCCCGCCCAGAGCGAGAGTCCCGTGAGGGTGGGACTGGGACTGGGGCTGGGACTGCCAGTCGCTCCTCCGAAGGTGTTACCCGACAGCGGCAACAAGGAGAACAAGGAGCCCGCCAGGGCTCAGCCACCCAGCAAGTCATGCCCCCTGGGCGCGCCCACCAACTACGTGGCCAGGCGGACCTGGATCACCACCGAGCGCATGAACGAGCTGCGGCGGAAGGCACAGGAGGCGGCCAAGCAGAACAAGATCTTCACCATACGCGGCTGCTTCAACTCGGTGCGGAACGCCCTGCTGACGCGGGGCTGGGTGGAGAAGCTGGACGTGCACCGGAAGGTGATGCCGACGGGCCAGATGACCTACGAGGACCTCACCCAGCGCCTGCCCAAGCGGAAGGCGGGCGAGACGCGGCGCCAGTACGTGCAGAAGTGCGAGAGGAACATCATGTCGCGTTTCCTGGAGCACATGCCCGTTGATTTCCTGTGGACGAACCGGAAGGAGAAGTGCGACTACATTGACCAGGCCAAGAACCCCGGCATGACCATCAACAAGTTCCATCGGGCGCCGTTCACCTCGAAGGAGGGTCTGTGCAACCAGCTGCGCGACTTCCACTGGTTCTTCGAGGAGGGCACCGCCGAGATGTGCTTCCCGCGCTGCTACAACGTTTGGAGTCCCGAGGAGCTGGGCGAGTTCGTCGAGAACTTCAAGCTGACCGCCTGCGTGGCCTTCCTGCGGGCCCTGCTCTGTCGGTACCACAAGCAGGGCGCCGAGGCGGTGTTCTCCTGCAGCGGCAAGATCCCCTACTCCGCGATAGACTTTGCCCACAAGCGTCTGGTGGAGTTCCTCGACAGCTGCCAGCACAACGACATTGACTTCGAGGACCCGCCCCGGATATGGGAGCACGACTGGGACGCCTTCCTGTTCCAGCACCA